ACAAAAGAACCACTGACTGGGAATAATCCTTTAAACATTTGTGAAGCTCACACACGGATGACATCGAAGCAGTTTGTGTCAAACTAATTCATCCAACCAGGAATTGTGTAGAGTCACATTTGAAATATAGAAATGAACTAAGTGTGTGTTTCTGTCTCTGTACACCATAAATTAACAACTAATGAGTTGTACTTAATGGGTAGAGGCCATATCCCATTAAAAATTTAAAAAAAATCCCTTCACTGACTAGTTGATAACAAACCTGTGAGACATGCACACAACTAGAACCAGACCTGGAAAAAGATCAATACAACCCACAACCTAAGATTAAGAGTAATGGATTCCTCTTGGAGGCAAGCATCTGAAGTCAAGCCATTGCCTTGGACAACTAATCATTGTTTAGATAGTGAAGCGTTGAACTTAAATAAGTGAAATTAACTGCTTGAAAGACAAAGCACACACACACACACATTAACACACACACACAAACACAAGCATATAGTAGTATGGAATTTGTACGTTTCAGGTAGAATTAGTATGTTTTTACTTCAGCATTAAAACATTAAAGGCTAAAAAATACAGGCTTAGGCCTGAGTTCCTTTTTGAGTCTGTGGAAGGAAAGAGCCATATTGACAAGATTGGAAAATTCCTATTGATTATTCTTCTTTTCTCTGAGCGCCAGATTGTTAAAAAAGACCCCTCTTGGAACACAATCAATTAGTGAGATAGTGCTTGCCATTGATCCCCCCCCCCCCACCACCACCACCACCAACAACATGTCCTACTCATAAGGCTCCGTCCAGCCTCACCGTGGATCCCTCCGCACACGCCTTATGACCAACTATTGATCTGGGCTCCTCAGCCAAATATAAATGCACACACACTCACAGTGGGACATTGACCCACACACACACTTCCAAACCACACAGTTTAATGCCACCACTGCCATCTGCTTGTCTCCATTGTAAAACCATGTTTCCTACATAAATATAGAGGCCAGCTTTGGCCCAGAACCAATATAGTTTCTCGGTGGTCAGAGGTCAGTCAGACCATAATACTGCCATTAGGAGCTGCATCGGCCTTCCCATTGCCAGAACATTGAAGAACTCTGAACGTATAGTTATTGTTTATAACTCTAGGCTGGTTAGTAGCACAGGAGGCTGAGTGCTTTCACAGATTTGATCAAATAAATGGTTAAATATATTTATCCATATATTATTCTATCAACATTTCATTTACTTAAAAACACAATCAACTGTATGACTGGTTCATTCAGAATCAGCACAACTATCACAGACTGTTTTATGCTGCTTATGCTGATTCTCATACGATCCTGTAATATCATCCATCCATTCATTTTCATCCGCTTATCCGTTAACGGGTCGCGGGGGCAGAGGTCTCTATGACCGCCACCCAAATCACACTGCACCGTACCAACCCCCTGAACCTTCCTGCGGGTCGTGAGTCCACTGGAAGGTACCAACTGCCCTAACAGGGATTCAAACTTGCCCAGGAGGTGAACCCTGGGGTTCCGCACCAATGACAGAAACATTGACTCTGGGCCAAAGCGCCACCCTGTAATAACTACACATATTAAACCTGTATTAAACCCTGTTGAAGCTCACCTTTGATTAGCTTCTACTGGGAAATAGGTTATTGTTCACAGAGTGGGGTTAGAGGCTGACTTCAGCTGAAGCTCAGCTTCACTGGAAGTTACTGAGCAGTGGAACTTATATTTAATTATATTTATTTTATATGCCGTTCCTGTTAAACTTCAAACTACCAGATTTTATGTGCAGCTAATTTTTGTCAGTCCCATGCAATAAAGTTACTGTAAAGTTAACAAAACAGATGAATTCCCCATTCACTTTTTTGCATTGTTTATATATTTTTATATTACTGATGTTGCTTTCCCATTGATGTTGCAAGTTTTTCTGATCTGATGTGGTTTTGCACTTGTTGCATTTGTATTTATGGTGCCATGCTTGTCACTGTGCAATAAGAAGTATCAGTTAAGTTATTACACCATTAGTCAATTTTTGACTACAGCTTCAGGATATGAATTATATAGCGTGTATTAAGAACAAGTATAATACAGAGGAGGAAATGTGTTTAAATGTGAAACCTGTCATTTCGCTACTATAAGTTGCTACTATTGATTGTAAAAACAACCACATCTTAAGAAAGTGGTCTAATAGAGTTCTCAAAAATAGTGAAACATTTTGAAAAGACTAAGTTTAAGTGGTGAGTGGAGATTTATAGTGATGGGGCCAGAGGTTTGTGAGCAGAGAGAGGAATCAATCCATCTATCTGTCTGCTGATCAATTTTCTAACCAATCAGTGAATGAGTGGCTCCATCAGTCAGAGATAAGTGACATCCTCCAAC